AAAAAAAAAAAAAAAAGAAAGATCTATCCCTTTTGCTGGGCATGGAGGTGCATGTCTGTAATCCCAGCACTTGGAAGACTAAGGCAGGAGGATTGTCATGAGTTCAAGGCCAGCCTGGGCTACATATGGAGTTCAAGGCCAGCCTGAATTACAGAGAGAGACCCTGTTTCAAAAACAATAATAATAATAATAATCTCCTTCAGGCTGTGGATTCAATCCCTACAAGACTGGGCCTTTTCAAAGCTAGTCTGAAGGAGCAAGACTCTCAAAAACAAGACTGGAGTTCTTCTTTGCTTCCTCTGGACAGGGGAAGGAAAAACTGACAAAAGCATATAAAGGAATCCTTATTCTCTCAATGTTTGGGCCCCTTCTTCATACATATTGGAAGGTCTTTGTCACACAGACCCTTCTGTAGAGAGGTAGAAGGGAAGGTGTTAACATCTCCCGAGTCCACTTGGTTGCCTGAGGAATGGTCACATGCGCGAACAATGCCTTCCAAAGGTGAGGTTGCAGGGCAAGGCAGGACCTACAAGGTCAACAACAAGGTTGCCTGAGGCAGAGGAGCTGGTGGAGCAACCCAAGCTGCCCCTGAATTTCACTGTAAGAGATGGTGGGGAGGGAAGAGGTGAGGGGGTTGCCTTGTTGTGGCCCTCACTATACTCTATTGTCATACTCCCAAAAGCAGTGGGGCTTCCTAGAGTCTTGGTTTCCAAATTCAAAGGGGAGCAGAAGATGTGAAATCAAGGGAGTAATGAACTGAGGGCCAGAACCCAGGCACGGAGGAAGCATCACGCAGGAAACGGTTCAGATGCAGGATATCACTATGAGGACCAAGAATCCTTCTTCAGGAACTCCAGGGCAGCCCAAGTATCTCAATTCTTTGAGTTCTTGGATTTATTCTCTCAGCTCCTCTACCAAGTGCCTGATCTGATGCTGCCAGATGCTGCGTCACCATTCAGGCTTTCAAGAATCTCCCAATCTTCTTTCTACCTGTTAGCTAAACCCCTTGAATTTATTTAGCTGTGTTTTATCGTTCAGCTGGTTTTTATGTCTGCTTTTTCCACTTATGGGGACATTGCCTTAGAGTGAGGACCTTATTTTACTCATCTCTCTTCCCTCCTATTCAACCCAGGTGCTTTAAATATGCTGGTGTATTCTTTGGGGGAGGCAACTACATTTGTATCACTTTGTGTTCCCTACAGCACTTAACAGTTTCCTATTCATATAATAGGCTTTGCAATTTGTAATCTTAAATTTTGCTGGGCATGGTGGTGCACACCTATAATCCCAGCATGCTGGGTGGCTGAGGCAGGAGGACCACAAGTTTAGCTGGGGCCCAGCCTATGCAATTAAATGAGACCTTGTCTCCGAATAAAAAAGTGACTGGTGGTAGTGTCACGTGCCTGTAATACCAGCACTCAGAAAACTGAGGCAGGAGGGTCACCTTGAGTTCAAGGCCAGCCTGGAATACAGAGCTAGACCCTGTCTCAAAAAATAAATAAATAAATATCAAAAGGTCTGGAGATACAGGTCAGTACAAAGACCATGGGTTCAATCTCTAGTACCAAAAAAAGTATAACAGAAAATATTCCAATATAAATGTAAAGATGAATTTCTTTTTCTTTTTTTTTTTTTTGTCTTTTTTTTGAGACAGGGTCTCACTACACAGTTCAAGCTGTCCTTGACTCACTTTGTAGCCCAGTTTTGTCTCAAACTTGCCGCACCAATCCTCCTGCCTCAGCCTCCCAAGTGCTGGATTATAGGTGTGCGCCACCATGCCCCAGATGTAAACATGAATTTCTTAGAGCTTGCTTTCCGCTAATGACTTTTGCTAGCTTAATTGATGGGGAGGGATAGGAAGAAAAAAAAAAGAGTAATTGAACTTCCTGGACAGAGTGTCAAATAGGATCCTTGAAGAGTCAGAGCCCCAGACTTATCTAGGGCTCTCATGGTTTTTTAGGCACTGTGAAACATTTTCAGGACAGGTTTTGTCTGCCAATTGATTGAATAGTGAACTGGCCTTGCTTACTATGAGGTGCTTAAGGTTGCTTATTAGAAGATGTGCACCTCAGACAGTGCTCTTCGAGGGGCCATTGACACCTCAACTCATTCGTGAGTCCTAGTGACCACTTTTTGATGTTCAGTGTTCAGGCAAAGGGTATGAACTTCTACCAGGAAAGGCACAAAATTTCAAGTGAGCCAAGTTTGTTTCTATCTCTGATTCATCTGATAATCAACTAGGTATTTACCATCATGGGAGGAAGTTATTCAGATTACATGACAAGTATCCAAGGGATCATTTTCTGAGGGTACCATGTATATGTGGATGGTGACCTCAACTGTCTGAGCAAATCTCCCATGGGTGGGGGTAAGTGGGCTAATGATCTCTGAAAGACACAAGAGATCCTAGGGCTATAACCAAGCTGCCAAGGAAGATTATTAGGATAGGCCTTCTAATAAAAAATACAGACTTGTCCCTCAGACATCCAGGGACTCTGAGCCTGCTCCTGATCAACGAGAGAGCTGAGTGCTGCCTCCTGTGGGGATCCCACAAGTTCCTCCTTTCCATCTGCTCCCGGCACCTCACTCTCTCTGTTTGGAAATCTCTCTGGCTCTTAGCACCTACTGAAATCTTTCAGGATAATACTCTACCTCAAGGTCTTCTTACTTCCTCTGGTCACAACTAATTTCACCTTCCATGTGCACCTGTTGCCTCTTTAGCTCTTCCAGATGCAGACTCATTATGTATGATGATGTCACACAGGTACCCTGTGTCCTTATTCCCATGAGAACACCCTGTGGAAAGTAAAACGCCAGGGAGTTTGCACATGTGCGCACGTGTGGGCACACACACATACAGAGAAACAAATGCCTAGTTTATTATCAGACTTATACAAGAGAGAAATAAATGGCTCAATTGAAATTTTGAGCCTTTCCTGGTAGCTGTTCAAAACATTCATCTGAATGCTGAAGAAAGGTCACCTCGATATAGATATATAGATATGGTTTGTTGTTGTTAATTACAGTCACATTCAAGTAGAAGGGTCATTTCACATCTGATTTTGAGGGAAAGAAAATGCTATATTTGGTCTAAAAACAGTTAAACCCCAATGACTCCTGAAACAAGTCATATTTGAAAGGATGGACGAAGTGGTAGGCTGAGTGACCTCCCTAACTCCCTGATGGTGATGTCCTTTCTGAGGAATGGAAATCATTTGCCACCTGTGGGGGAATGCAAGGTAATGAGACGCAGGTGAACCATTATTTGCAGGGGAACAGAATCAAGATAGAAAAACTAAGAGATCTACAAGTTCATAAAAAGCTAGGTATGGGTCTGTTTCTCTTGCTCTTTAGCACTGTCCAAGGCTTCAGCCTCCACCTCCTTGTTTTAGGAGCTTGGCACAGTGCAGTGATCAAAGACCAAGCTGAGCTCCCGGGTTAAATCCCAGACCCGAAAGCACTTCCAGCTCCTTCCGCGGTGAAGTGCCATCTTCGGTTGCCTGGCAACTAGCTGCTTCGAGAGGGTAGAAGGTGGGTGGGACGCTGAGGAAAAGTACAGGTACCTAGATCCAGAACAAGAAGAGTAGGAGGGGCTTTAGCATTTACATCATCCGAATTGCACTTGCGTTTCTGAGACTTAAGTTGTCTTTAACTGGGCTTCCAACTAGGTTTCCTACAAAGGACAGGTGTGGCTCCAACCTTCATGCTTCCTTCCTACCCTGGCTTCATGGAACCTTCTTCCCGGCTCCAAACATCCCTGACTGAGTACCCGGCACTGGCCCTTTAAATGTGACCTGCGGGGGTTGAGGGAGCTAAAACTGACGTGGAACCGGAGAGAGCAATGTCAGACACGTGGTAGGAGGAGGCGTTCATTTTGGAACTGGGCAAAGAGTTTTTCCGCTGTAGGCTGTACATCTTTAATATAATGTTGCGGGGGGTATCCGCTCTTGCTTGTTTTTCTTTTTTGCTTTCCCAATACTGTCGTGATACTTCTACTCTCGAACAAAACTGCAGTTTAAAATGACACTTCTGGGCTCTCTATTGCCCATATTAAAAATGGCGCCGTTGCCTTCCAGGACGTAGTTCATTTAGACTCAAGATCCGGGCGGAAACAGGGGGTAGGTAGGTGCTGCAAGACAGAGCCTAGGTTGTTTTACAAAACCTCCGGGGGAAGCCCGAGGGCGGTTCAAATCGGAGTTGCTGGGTTTTGCTCCTCCTTGGCAAGACTCACTTGTGGGGAGCGGCCACTCCTTACTGCTGAAACCTCGGGGCTGCTTCCCAGTTTGCCGTTTAGCTGAGTAGGGTGCGGAGCTGGAACCTCTGGCCACCCACCATGTGGGCCTTTCCCGAGGTGCCGATTCCGCTGCTGGTGAATTTGATCGGCTCGCTGCTGGGATTTGTGGCCACGCTCACCCTCATCCCGGCCTTCCGTGGCCACTTTATCGCTGCGCGCCTCTGTGGCCAGGACCTCAACAAAACCAACCGGCAGCAGATGTGAGCAGTGGCACACGGGTGTCCCGGGCAGGGGCCAGGGGTGGGCAGAGCAGGGCAGGGGCGAGCACTGAGGTGCTTAAAAGTGTGCAATGGACAGAACTGCTTAGCACTGGGGAATGATGACGAAGGGGACCCTTGAGTGCATCAGGAACTCCGGCAGTGTTGCTTTTCCCCGCAACTGCTCCCCACCAATTTCTGGGAAGATCTTTCGGGTTACAAGTTATTGCACTTGTAAGTGACCACGCCCACTTCCTTTTCCTTCTCCACCCGCTCGCTGCTGGGCCACAGCCCAGAATCCCAGGGAGTGATCAGCGGTGCTGTTTTCCTTATCATCCTGTTCTGCTTCATCCCCTTCCCCTTCTTGAACTGCTTCGTGGAGGAGCAGTGTAAGGCCTTCCCCCACCATGAAGTAAGTGGATAGTGGGGGCGGTTGCCTGGGGCCTGGGAGGTACCAGAGAGAGGTGGGATTGTTTAGATTTGGGAGGAGGGGCTGAGGACCTAGTGGAAAAGACCGAAATTCTTGAAAGGTTGAATGGCAGTAGGCCTGAGTCGTGACATGCCCAAGCCTCCCCCAGTTTGTGGCCCTGATAGGTGCCCTCCTTGCCATCTGCTGCATGATTTTCTTGGGCTTCGCGGACGATGTCCTGAATCTACGCTGGCGCCATAAGCTGCTGCTGCCCACAGCTGCCTCGCTCCCTCTCCTTATGGTCTATTTTACCAACTTTGGCAACACAACCATTGTGGTACCCAAGCCCTTCCGCCCAATTCTTGGCCTTCATCTGGACTTGGGTGAGTATCCCTGCCGCTACTGCCCCTGTGGCACTTACTTCCGGTCACCCTCCCCAAGATGCGCAGCAGAGCACCTTTCCTGCTCTGTCCCTGTGGATGCTCAGATCCCCTCTTGTGGCCCTTCACAGTGTGCTCTGTTCTGAGAGTACCCTTAGATCCTTTCCTAGGTAACACTGCTTCTTTTTATACTGTGTCTTCCTTGCAGGGATCCTGTACTATGTCTACATGGGGCTCCTGGCAGTGTTCTGTACCAATGCCATCAATATCCTAGCCGGAATTAATGGCCTAGAGGCCGGCCAGTCACTGGTCATCTCTGCCTCCATTATTGTCTTCAACCTGGTGGAACTGGAAGGTCAGTGGGGTTGGGGTTAGGGTTAGGGAGAGAGAGAGAGATCTCAGTGTTTGGAGAAGTGCCTGATATATAGCTTTGAGAAAGGAGGGGCATTATAGAAGATAGGGAAAGCTATTTACTTTGTAAATAACAATGAAGAGTGACTTCAGTGTGAGGAAGAAAAATAGCAGCCTGTTGTTTATAGGTGAATTGGCCTGAGTAGCTAGCCTATGATTATCGCCTACTGGACATAAACAGTTTCATAGAACCTCAGCATCAGAGAGGGGCACCCTGACTATGATGGAACAAGACAAAACCCAGACTTCTCCCACTGTAACCATGTCTGAGCATGGACAGAAGCACAGGAACACTGAGTCAACACAAAAAATAGCCAGCATCCCCTCTGATGTGTGAGGTTGCAGCTTCTTTGCTGTAACAGCTCAGTTCCTGCTACTTCTTAGATAAAAATTATGAAGATGTTCAGTCAGAGAATTACTCCTGCTTTCTGACAACAGCCAGTGCAGAGCACAACTTTTCCTTGCAGCCTCCCCAAAACCATTCAAAAGGAATCCTATTGTAAGTCCTTCCTGACAGCTCCTAGACTGCTTGTCTAGTGTGAGGCCCTGGGTTCGGCCCCCAGTATCTCTCTCACACACACACATACACATAGAGTTGGCAAAAAAAGTACTTATTAAAGGTAAGCAAAAAAAAAAAAAAAGTTAGCAGTATTTATTTATTTTTGGTTTTGGGGGACAAGGTCTCACTATATAGTTCAAGGTGGCCTTGAATTTACTATGTAGTCCAGGCTGGCCTCAGACTCGCAGTGATCATCCTGCCTCAGCCTCCTGACTGCTGAGACAGCAGGTATGCTCTACCAAGCCCAGCTAAGTAAACAATTTTTAAACGGGGCATGGTGGTACACATCACTAATTCTAATACTCTGGGAGGCTCAGGCAGGAAGATCACAAGTTTGAGCCCGGCCTGGGCACTTAGTGAGTCCCTGTCTCAAAATAAAAAATAAAATGGGCTGGCTGGGCATAGAAGCTCACACCTGTAATCC